AGACGACTTCGAACTAGGTGCGTTCTACTAAGTCGCCCTGACAACAAGACCAAGTTGCGACAACGAGGTCTACCTACTTCCATATTATTTATCTTGTGTCAAGGCTATCTGAATTCATTTATAAAATTAATATTACTATTTGGAGGTTTGATATTTCGTAAATATATTGTTGTGCTGTCCATCGTGGTTTGATATAAGGGATTTTTCATTGAATTTCATTGTATTTTCTTCTAAAGGCTCTGTAATCTAGGTTGGTCTGTATTCTTGACCTCAATAGTGCTGTGACTGTTTAGTTCATTTTTAGTTTTTATCGATAGGCTTGTATCTCAGTTAAGCAAAACCTAACAATCTAACAAAACTATACTTTTTCTGTGTTCTTAAGGAGATCAAATTCTTTTTTATACCTATATCATTTATTATTTTATCATATCTCAGTTGTCCAGCTTGTTGGGCTAACTTCAGACAAATATTCTGCTCTATGACCTGTGATCCTTTCCAGGCCAACTTCCTTGCTCCTTTATCGATAAAAGAGGGCTCTGTTGAAGGAGTTAAGTATCTTTTATCTCACCAGTTCGCCGATGGCTTTTACAACAGCTGCCGAGTAAGCTTAACTCATTAAACATCATTCTGTTTAAGTATTATACATTGCATTTATCTCGCTTTTGTATTATTTTATACCAAGAAAATGTGGGTTTCAAAGAATCTTCCGAGATAGGATTAATGTAATGACTTCCATTTCGTATGAAAGTACAGGATGGAGAGATCGATAAGTCAATCTCACCAAAAGACGTCGGCTGACTCGCGTTGTACTGCAGCCGTTAGGCGGTAATACGACGTTCAGGTTGATGCGGTCCACGAGGCGTCCTCTAATGTTTTGGGCGAAGGCGGGCTAAAATTTCGTTCGCCATGTGACGTCAGAGCCGAGACGCACTGTTGCTAAAACCTCAAGTTAACACTAAGCCATGAAGGCTGACCGATTTGGTCTATATATATATAATTTTGAGCAAAATTTAAGATATGGATGGATATAAAAAGGTTTGGCTAATTCATATATAGGCGAGTGTCTCTGTGTTTGCATGTGTGTTAATGTCTATACGCAAAACCGGTCATAACTCATAGTAATTAGAAGAAAGCTTAACTTCAGCCCCGGGTCATCAAGACTTAATGACCCAAGGTCGGTCAGGCCATATAGCGACTTTAAAGACCTATGTTAATCTGGCTGTTTGATCTTTTACTTATGTATATTCGTATCACTTCCTTATTTAGCTGGCAGCGCTCATTTGGTGGCGTCTTCTAGAATTGCCATTTGCTTGTGTAGGCCAGTACATAGTATAGTATATCTTCAGCTTTACTCGATACGACAAATCCTCATAGAATGTAAGGATACTGTCATATCTTATTGGAGGCGATAACAATTATACTTCTTTCATAGTCAAGAATTTTATGTCTTATATTTTTTTCTGTCAAACTTTTTTATCCACCAGAAAATCTTCTGAATTACTTTGATATTCTTTTTACCCTGTTACTGTAACATTAGGATGTTTCAATGGGCAACGACCGAGTCATCGATATGATATGCGAGCAGCCTGACTGTACTCTCGATCTGCTTCTGCGTGCGCTTGGAAATGGTAGTCGGGCCCCATTTTACATCGATTTTGTCGTTTCAGATGTCCCGGAGCCCCGGCCTTCAGTAAGGGCAACCATAGCAGTGGATTCCATTGGAGAGAGTCTTCGGAAACAGGAAGGGGTGATGACCATAACCACATCTGCCGCCATACAGCTATCTACAGAATTTATCGTGCCAATGAATGCTACCGCCTGGCCGTGTAATAAAGGTGTTCCTGCACGAGGCAAAGACGTGGAAACTGAAGCTTGTTCGTGCCTCGACTGCAACTCTTCATGTACTCCGGTGCCTCCTCCAAAACCTAAGCCAACGCCACCATCCTTTCTAGGTTAGCATTATTCTTTTGATCAGTATAGATAATATATATATCTATGTACATTTATTATTATAATTTGTTTATGTTTTTGATTGGTTTGGCTGCTGTTACTATCTGCATTAGGTCACTTGTGAGGCTCAGCTATTTACCTCCCCTTTGTCTAGGTATTTAGTATTATACATTACCATCATACCTTTAGGAGACATTATGTATGTTTTTTTCACATGGAGTTGGTTGCTACTATAAGGAATATGATTTTCTGTCAAGATGCATTATTTTCGCATGGTCCAGCATAGTTTGATAACCAGTGGGTAGCCAGGATGCATACCACAGTAAATTTAATTGCGAAACCACTTTTCGTTAATTTATCGTGGGTATACTGGCAACCAGTATTTGTAGCACTATTTGCAATTTATATCTCGTTATAGGACATTCGCAATTACTGCAATTCATTATCGCTTGTTTTTGAAATATTGGCAGTATTGATGATCCCTAATTTGATTTCCATTTGGAGTCTCAAAGCTAGCATCTCTTTGGGCTATTACGGAAACTATATGAGTGGCAGCGTCATTTGAACATGCCTAAATCTTCCAAATAAGCTTTTATTCCGTATGAGGCCACTTGGGAATAAAAGCGAATTAAATTGCAATTGTAGTCAAAATATATATTCACATTTACAATGTATTGCATTCTTATTTCATTTAGACTTCAATGATCTTCTAAGGAGGGTTAATTAAATAATATTTTATTAGTAGATCGTATAGTCCCATTAACATATGTATGTTGCAATTTAACTTATGAGGGGACCCAAAACGAATTTTTACTTGACATTGTCATTGCTTTTACTTGCTGTTAAATACTTGTCGTGCGAACTTTTTGGTGTTTTACAATAGTTTCGAATATAAGTAAACAAGAACCCAAAAACCATTCTACTTTATTTGGCATATTTTAATATATTCCCTATTTTATTAATAATTAGCACGTGAAACTACATTTACTTGATCTACGCATGTTTTTTGTACGAATTTTTTTATGCAAATAGGGTGTCGGTGTTTGAAGTTTGAGCTTAATTTTAGTCCTTAGGCCGAATTTTGCCTACATTTTTTGATAGGAGATCCTTAAGATATCCCTTTATATAACCTGGACCGCATTTAATTGCACTTTGCTTAATCCTCCCTCTTATATTTTCCTTCCCATCACGTATGTACATTATTCACAGGCATTCCTATCTCCTACATAATCGGCTTCTTAATATTCGCCTTGTTTTTGCTCGTGTTTGCCGCTTACCACATCTTTATCTACCTTAATCCACCTACCTTGAACCTACCTATTGCTCCACCGTCTAACGAGGATCAGCCGAGGGCCTTTTGCCTTGACGCGGCCAGTATAAAGGCAGAGACATGGCTCAATTCGGTTTGTTTACCAGATTTATCACTATTATTCCTGGCTTTGCTGCAACCTTACGTACTTTATATGTTTACTAAGTTAGAAATGACTCAACCTACCTATCTTGTAAAAGCACTGCCAATTAATGTCTATAGTCCTGTCCAATCAGACCTAGCTGTGATTCTGCCATCTTTCTGAACCCATTTTTTCTTCATTTTGTCCCTTGGTTTTCCCATATACCTTATAAAGGTTACCTCTGAGCCGCCTTTCTTTTATACTTTTTCTTAATTCCCAAAGCGATTTATCTATTAAATATGCTGTGGCGACTACTCATCTGAAGAAAACCAAATAATTCAAAATTACAAATCTTATAATTATGATACCTTCATGAGTGTGTTTCATTTAAATAATATAACACATCTTTCAATAGTTGGCTATTTAAATTCAACTCTTGGTATTCACATTTTCCTCTAATCTCTACGGCCAACTTGATGGAGGAAATTCAATGTCAATGCTATTTTGTAATCACACTTCTCTTATTCATCGACCATGTCTACATAGTTTATAATCCTAATGCCCAATGAAAATTAAGGCAAAAGTGTCCTATCTTTTATCCCACATTACTTTAACTAGAATAATAGCTGTGGTCTCTCTAGGTCATATGAGATATTGAAGGGCTTGGATGAATTTTCTTACAATTATGAATGAAAATTTTGATTCGACTCTTCATTTCGAAAAAAATTGTTTGGAAGGAATTTGTGAATTGGTCTCACCTTAAACGGGAGGAGGATTCAGCAGAGTGAAGTATGTTGGATTGTGCGAAGAGGCCCTCAACTCACTGTCCTGCGACTCCTAAGAATCTGTGCTAAGCTTTCGTCTATACTGTGAAAGGCATCATCGGAGCAAAAACACATACTTTACGAAATTCCACGTTATTCTATTAAACCGAAAGAAAGAGTGGCCGAGTACAATGGTCTCTGGTATCTTTCTATAAATAACGATCTCTCTTCATCTTCTTACTGAATATTAGAATTTAATTACTTATTAATCTTAATGAGCAATTGTTTTGAAATAATATATACATCAATCTACCACTTTCCTGGTCCCTGTGGTTCAGAGCTGCTAGACGCAGACCCCTTATTTTGATTGGTTTTATAGCTCCACTTTAACCCTTAATAAGGAAACCCGCGTGTGTGTGTTCCCTATACGCATATCTACCAAAGCTAATAGGGGATAATCAATAGAGTGGTCCAAAACAATACGTTTTGCTGAAGATATGAAGATTAAGATGCTGCGGCCTGTGGTATGGTCGTAGACTCTTTTCGATTTATACAAGTGGGTTGACCTCGTTGTCGCAACTTGGTCTTGTTGTCAGGGCGACTTAGTAGAACGTACCTAGTTCTAAGTCGTCTGCCATAGTAATTGTCATGATTCCCAGCATCAGACAGTCGACTTGGTACATTCTCAAACGTTTCGCCGA